ACAGCATATACAAGTCTCTGAGTTTGATCCCCAGCACTGAAAAAACAAAACGTAATTCCACTACTGGGTATACTGCACAGGAAATGAAACCACTATGTTGCAGAGATAGCTGTTCCCTCATATTCCCTGCAGCATTATTCACAATGGCTAAAATACTCAGTCTATGATGTTCATTTAACTCATGAATGGATTAAAAAAATGTGATGTGGCCTTGTGTGCTAGTATGCCCCTTTAATCCCAGCATTCAGGAAGAAGAGTGGTTTGAGGCCTGTTTGCTTTACGTAGTGACTTTCAGGACAGTGTTTTCTGGACACAAAAGGGCAGTTGTACATATGAACTCAAAGTGTTTGTGAGAATATGCATAAGACCTAAGCAAACTCAAGTCAAACAAAAACCCAGCATGGAGAAGGGGGTAGGCATGAGATCCCACCCCTAACTGAGGGTCTATTGGAAAGTAATGGCTTCTGGGAGAGGTTGAGTAAGTTTTCTTTAAGGGTGTGGCCCCTGGTAGGTCGACCATATACCCAAGAGTATAAGGGCAGCACAAATTGGGTTCAATGATTTCTTTTTTAAGTGAGGACACAAAGTTGAGTGGGTAGGGATGGGGGATAAATATGATTAAAATACATTGAGTGAAATTGTCCATTAATTTAAAAATGTTCAAAAAAGAACAAGTAAACAAAACTTCCAGAAGTGTTAAAGGAAAAAGGAAAACACCCCAAACTGGAAATCAATGGAACTGAAAGTAGAGTTTCAAAAAACATTAATATAATGTGTAAATCACTAAAGTAGATGGTGTAGAGAAATGGAGAGAAAACCTGCTAACTGCACTACCACAAACCTTGTCAATGTTGAAATAAGGAAAGGTGATTCTAAACAGTGTTTTGTGGCCTAGCCTGGAGCATGCTACATGGTAGAGACACCAGGAGAGCCCTTGCCCAAAACAAGGTGGGATGAGAAAGCCAGCTCCTCAAGGTATCCTTTGATTTCCACATGAACACCATGGCACTTGTGTGCATGGGTGCATGCACACACACACGCTACTATTACTACTACTACTGATAGCAATAATTATAATAATAACATCAATAGTAATAGAGTTAGATTTAAAATACAGTTTAGGGCTAGGGGATATAGCTTAGTTGGTTGCCTAACATGCATAGAACTCAGGGTTTGATCCCCAGCACTGTATTTAAATTTAAAAAAGAGAGAGATACCTCAGACACTGCAATAGACTAGCTTAAGCAGACAACCTCTGGACTTGAAGTCTTGAACCATCTCAGTCAGACAAAGAAAGAAAAGAAAAAGAGAAGAACGAAGAGAGCATTTAAGGCCTCTGGGACCCCCTTAAATCAACAAATAGACACATTTCCTCAGTGCCTGAATGGAAAGGGGAAAAAGGTGCACAGAAAACCTACTCAATGAGATAATGTAGAAAAACCTTCATGGTAAGAAATGGACATTCATGTATAGGAGGCCTATAGGGAACCAAATAGATACAACCTTTATGGCATAGTGTGGGTGAACTGTCCGAAGTACAGGACAAAGAAGGAATTCTAAAATCTACAAGAGAAAAAGTATGATTTCCCATTTAAACACATCTCCATTATAAATCTGCATCAACAGCAGATTTTTATGCATAAATGTTACAAGCTTTGATGGAATGGGATGCCATGTTCCAAGTCCTGAAGGAAAATAACTCGGTGAAGAATACTATACCTACCAATGCTATCCTTAAGAAATTGAGAAATAAATGTCTTCTAACATAAATGAAAACTGAGGGACTCCATTCTACTAGACCAGTCTTAGAAATCTGTTTAAGGGAGTCCTAAATCCAAAAGTAAACAAAAGATCGCTACCATCATGGAATTATGTGAAAAATCTGTCACACTAAAAGAACAAGCAAACAATAGGGAAATAACGAATCAGAATCAAACTTCACCAATACAGCAAATCAAGCCATAAAGATGAATTAAAAGTACAGAGAATGCTCAAAACAGTTAAAGAAAATCAACAGAATAATAGGAGTAAGTCTTTAATTCATCATTAAGAACCTTGAATACAAGCAGACTAAATTTCCAATTAAAAGATACAGACTGGCTCAATGGATAAAAGAAAGGAGCCCTAACACTATTCTGCCTGTGAGATATTCATTTCCCCAATCAAGACAGTGCAAGAGAACAGAAACAAAGGGGTAGAAAGTGGTATTTAAAGCAAATGGAAACCTAGAGGGAGCAGATATTTTTTGGTGTTAGAAGTCAACACAGTTATGCATCAGCACGTTTTATGGCTTTTCAAGAGGCAAATGAGGCATATAACAGGAGATTTGCAAGACTTGATTAGTTGATACAATTGTAGTCTTGTGGGCTAGAAACAGCCGTGCAACTTCATATAAAAGTGCCAACACAGATGGTACCTATAAAAATATATAGAAAGAAGGGAAGTCATTTTAACTCTTGGCTATCACTCAACCAGGTAAGTCAACTTGAAAACTGCTTTTACTTATGAGGCCAATTCTATCCATATAAAAGCACAATAAGTAAATAACACATTAGTCCAGTTAAATGTATTATTAAACTATAAGCTCAAGTAAATACTCAATAAATATTTGAATAAATAAACTCTTGACACCTGCTCACAAATGTGATGCCCATGCCCAAGTCAAGAAATAAAACATCACAGGTCAAAGTCAAGTGCACCTATTAGTGATACATTTCTGGATAGTAATTATTATCAAAGTGCCTGACCCATTCAGAAACTCGATGAATAGAGGCTGGGGAGATGGTAGAGTGCTTGCTGTGCAAGCTGGAGGGCCTGAGTGCAATCCCCAGCACCCATTTAAAATAGCCGAGTATGGTCAGCGTTTGTAATCCCGGCACTGGGCAGAGCCAGGAACAGGTAGGCCTTGGAGCTTGCTGGCCAGCCAGCCTAGCCTACTTGCCAATTTCCAGACCAGTGAGAGTCCCTATCTCAAAAAAAGGGGGTAGTGTCCTGAGGAGCAATATCTGAGATTGACACCTGGCCTCCACATGCATGCACACACAGCTCCACATACACCTTGCATGCATTTCTACACACACATACACACATAAGGTTCAAAAAATTTTAAAAAGAAAACAAACATTTGTAAAGCTAATGAAGTAACTAACTTTTGAAACTGAATGGTCAGGTTCTAAGGTGAAGGGTGGTGTAAAAATGTGCAAATATACAAAAACCACTCAGCTGTTCACTTTAAACACATCAATTTTGCGAAATGGAAATTCAAAAAAACTGACTAAACTCACAAGGAAATTTTTCCAGGCCCTCTGAATGATTCTGGCAGCAATTTCCTGCTTTGTAAATTCTCCTACCTTTTTCTCAGGCTTTCGAAGGTCCTAAAAGGAAATAAGCAAAATAGGAAATTTAAAATCACTTTATAGGTTCCACTATGGAGCTGTCTCTAGAACTCAGCATAAATTAAATACAGTCATATAAAGGAAACAATGAAAATGAGATTTGGTATCAAGTAATTACACCTATGTAGTCTAGGGTTTTTTTATAACTTAATTACCTTACATAGAATTAAAAATTTTTTATTACATTTATTATTTATTTATTTATTATTTATTTATTTGTGTATGTGTGTGTGTGTGTGTCCTGTGATCAAACTCAAGTGCCCTTACCTGCAGAGCCTTCTCGCCATACCACATAGCAGATTTTAATATGCTTGTGTTGGACTAAGCTTCAAAATTTAAGATCAAATAGTAACTAAGGCAGCAATGAACTCCAGTCTGCCTTTACATACTTTATTGTATGACCTGTGACCTTTACATACTTTATTGTATGATCTAAACTCACCTTAGTATGAAGAGAGAAACAGCCACAGCTATAAAGCTGTCCAAGCCCCTAAGTTAGAACTGGAGATGATTGTAGATGTTCATAACTACACTTCCTACTTCATATCTCATGCATCAAATCATAAAAAGAAAAAAAAAAATGAAGGTTCGCTATCTAGGAGCCAAACAAAATCACAATTCTTGTTTTCACATTAAAGAATTAGTCACAGGGAAACCAGAATATACACTAGCCTGAAGTTACTTTAGAAAGCTTCAGAAAATTCAGTTGTTATTCATGCTACTTAAATGTGCATTGCCCTGAAAAACATCTTTGAACTGAATGGTTTTACAAAAGTAAAACTGGTCCACTATTGCTCCAGTATTACCAAATGAGTAAGAGATGATAAAGTTTTTCTGTTTGCTCAGGTTATATAAATTATGTACAATCTTACTCATTTTCAGTATTTATAATGAAATACAAGGTATACATAAGATTTATATTTAATTCATTGCTTTTGGTAGTTTTCTCATACAAACCGCAGGAAGAAAGCTGAAAACTTAAACAGTGAAGACATGTTTCTGCTTATGATGCTATTAAATGTGATCTTGGACAAATAGCTGAGCGTCTTTAGGCTCTAGTGTCATCATGTGCAATCTTAGTACATTACCCCCAAAGCACTTTCAGTCTCACAACTGGGTTTTATATTACACAGGGCACAATGCTCTCATGGTCCAACATAAAGGAGGGAAGGGAGTGGTCTGCACTGACAACACGTGATTTCCCTTCGTCTCAAGGCTGTTACTATTTCACAGTATAAATAATGTCACTTTTTACATTCACAGTATCAATATGAGTCTTAGATCCTTTATTGAAGTCAGTGAATAAATTTTACTTAAAATTTTAAAATTCTAGGGGCTGAAAAGATAGTTCAGTGGTTAAGAGCACATATTGCTCTTCCAGGGGACCTGAGTTCAGTTCCCAGCATCCATGTTGGGTGGCTCATAACCATCTGTAGCTCCACTTTCAGGGGACCTAATGCCTCTGGCCTCCATGGGCACCTGCACACATGTGCACATACCTACACATGGACATACATGACTATAGGGAGACCCTGTCTCAAAAAAGACAAAAATAATAAGCCAGGCATGGTGGCGCACGCCTTTAATCCCAGCACTTGGGGAGGCAGAGGCAGGCAGATCTCTGTGAATTCAAGGCTAGCCTGGTCTACATAGTGAGTTCCAGGACAGCTGGGGCTACAGGGAGACCCTGTCTCAAAAAGACCAAAAAAATAGACAAAAAATAATAATAATAAATAAATCTTTTAAAATTTAAAATTGTGAACTATTGCTTATAAAATGCAAAGTGTGTAAAGATTTACAAATCCTCAAACCCTGAACTATTTAAATATAAATATACTGTACAATACACATCTACTAATATGCACATGTTTAGAGACACAGAGATGAAAGGGGAAAAAGCTGTCTAAAGGATATGCCAAGTGTAGGAGCAATGAAAGAGGCACTAGTGTATTTTCTTCACTGCTTTTCTCTTTTGATGTCCAAACTTTGGAAGCCTAAACCAAAAGACATTTTGTTCCTGATTGTGTGGACTGTGGTGTTTTTAAATTGACATTTTAAGAGTAAGTGAAAGGTTTTCTTTTTTAAAATATTTTTTATTTAGTACCTGAGTATGGATGTAAAGTCATCGGGTAGATTTCATCTGTAATGTTTATCACCTCTACTATTTAACATAAAGTAAAATTTTCCTCTCAAATATGTCTTTTTTAAACTTTGTTGATTTTTTTGTATGTATATCATACAGAACATCCCACACAATCTTATTCATTTATATACCCACTTCCCAAATGGCACCCGCCCATAGCCTCCCCGCTCCCACACACTGGAGACCATATACTCTGTCATCTCTGTTACTGACTTTATATCCATGCTCGGATGCCAAGGATACTCAGGTATTAAGGATCCAAGTATTACTGACTGTGACTAGTAATAACCAGATACATAGAGATTAAAGACACATGTGCAAACATCTAAGTGTTAGTAACATTAAAAATGTAGGAAACAGCATGTTTTAAAATGAAATGGAGATCTTCTTTAAACGGTAAAAACTCATTCAATTTTATGTCTTACAGGGTCTATACTGAGTTCAGTACTATATAACTGTACTAATTCAACTGTGAGCCTAAATTTTACAGCCACTTTTGAAAGAGCTGTATCCTTGCTCTGGAATGTGTTACTGAATATGTTAAAGCTGTAATGAAATGCTTCTTCTAATCATGTGGTTATTAAATTTAAAAAATTTTAAAAATTGGGCCTGGAGAGATGGCTCAGCAGTGAAAAACACTGGATGTTCTTGCAGAAGACCTGGGTTTGAATCCCAGCAGCCACATGGCAGCTAATAACTGTCTGTAATTCCAGGTCCAGGGGATCCGACAGCCTCTTCTGTCCTCTACAGGCATTGCCCAACACAGGTGCACTTACCTACACGCAGGCAATACACTCATACACATAAAATAAAAATAATAAATAAAAAAATTTAAAAAATATTTTAAATTAAAAAAATTCTTCAAAAATTTTTTTTTTATTTAGTGTACATACGCAACATGTGAACAGGTGCCCTCAGAAGTCAGAGGTGTCAGATCTCCTGGTGCTGGAGTTACAGACAGTTGAAGGATGTTTGGTGTTAGTGCTGGAAACTGAATGCAGGTCCTCTGGAAGAGCAGCAAGTGATCTTAACCACTGAGCAATCTCTTTAGCCTCGGTAAAAGGTTTTCTATGAGAAATAATTCATGCCTCTTTTCTCTATCCCTGTGAATGGAGGAAGCAAGTGGAGAAAGGTTGTCTTTGGTCCTAGGAGTAAGACAGAACACGGTTGGCTTCAGTTGGTCAGGTTTTTTGTTTTTCATAAGTTGGATTCTCACTGTGTTGCTCAGATTGCTCTCAAGTCAGAGACTGAGGGGACCCCCTTGCCTCAGCCTTCCAAGCACTAACACAGGTGCCTGCCTTAGACTAGGGTTGAAAGAGAATTTTTCCTCATACTTAACAGTGATTTTGCATGAATCGAACTCACTCATTTGTAAAATATGAGGACTCAGTATTACCTCACAAAGTTTGTGAGGATTAGATCAGATAGTACAGGAAAACACTTTAATTTCTGGCTCACAATATCTACATAATAAGTTGTACCTTAATAATACAAACTGTTTTCAAAGATAAGATTATTTTGGTTTAAAAAATGTAGCTGATCATTTTAAGCTCAATTATTCTCCGAACTTACAAAAAACTATTAGAACAAGTGAGAGTAAGCAACAATATTTGGAACTTGAAAGATGTATTAATTTTGATCAAAGCATAGGTATTTTTGAGAAATATTCTTTCTAACCAGCAGGTGGAGAAATATAGTTTATGCATTACAGGACATTTTAGGAAAAAGAAACCCTTTTCTTTATGACTGGTATAGCAATCAGTTTTAACAAGTTTTAAAGTTATTGTTGGTCAGTGTATCATTAGAAGACACAGACAGAGAGGATAGTTTTGCTAGCTGAGATTTGTTGTAACTTTAAAAATCATATCAAAGTTTCAACTTTCTGAGAAAAGTAGTTTTGAAACAGGGTCTCCTCCCCAGTTCCTAACCCTCTGTTTTCTATCTGAGATTCTTTTTCACTACTCCACATATAGAACACAGTTTGGTTATCCACAAATAACCATAGAATCAGGAGAGTTTAAAAGCATTAAAGATATAAGTAAATATAATTTCATACTTATAGTTCACTATTGTTTAAATAGTAAACAATAGTAAACATACTATCTAAAATTATAATGGTATATAGATTTATTTATTCTAAAAGTAATACAAATATGCAAATTCAAAAAACTCAGAACCACTGGGTAAAAAGTAAAAACTGCCCATCCCCCATTTCTAGCCCAATTCACTGCTTACAGGTTCTATTACATACATGTGATTCTTCCAGGTTTTCTCTCATATACTTAAAACTTGCATATTATGTATATAAATATGCATGCACTGTGAACATGGACGTGCACTTGTTTATATACACTGCATGTATATATCTGATATATCCATATATCTTTTATACACACATACATATAAAACTTGTTTGTATTAAAGTGATCAAACCATACATATTTCTTTTTTACTTAACATATATTAGAGACTTTCCATGAGAATAATGTAAATCTCACTCAATAGTTATGAAGTATTCCTTGAAATAGATATTTTACTTAATCTTTCCATTATTAAACATTTGGATTTTTCCTGTTAAAATTTCAAAATTAATATCCTTATATTTGTCCAAATGTGCAATTATTTTTGTTGGATATTTTTAGAACTGCTATGACAAAGCAGTATTTGAATTAACTCTCTTCTGAATGAGATAAAAAGTTATAGTCATCTCTGCAGAGGAACTAGTGGACAAGGCATTTGGATTCAGAAATGAAAAATACTTCCTTCTTGTAGACTCTTTGTGCTATTTTCTTCCAAAGGTATATGCATGTAGAATTACACACACACATACACACACACACACACACACACACACACACATACACACACATATCTTACCAGACACATGTACATACCTCTCTACATCATACATAGATACATTCAATTTTTCTTAGCAAAAGAAATGCTGGGCCCAATGACATGAGCCTTTAAATCCAGCACTCAGCCATGTATGGTAGAGTACACATCTTTAATCCTTGGGAAGCAGAGGCCTGCAGATCTCTGTGAGTTAAAGGCTAGCTTGGTCTATATAATGAGTTCCAAGTAGCCCAAGCTGCTCTCAGACTCACACTCTTCCAGCCTCTGATTCCCAAGTGCTGGGATTACAGGCATG